CCCTACAAAACATGTGCTGAACAATCTGGGGAGATGCTTTTGTGTTAAATTTCCTGTGAACAGAACAAAAGACACAGTCTCTGACTCTTGTGCTTCTTTCTTTGGCTTATGAAGAAGGTGGCAACACATGGCTTTTTCCCACATTCCTGTGCACTCTCACCGATTCTAATTTGTTCCTTTCAAGAACAAATAACTAAGGAACCAAATGACAGCAGTGTGCTGCACTAATGAATGTAGACACACGTATTTATGCTTATAGAAAGCAGCATGGCTGGATTAGACTGCAGCAGACTGGAGACACGTGGTGCCATCGACATTGTCAAGGATTCACGACATTTACACAGATTATTTTTCAGCCGTGTATTCCTCGGTGAAATTGCATTCTAGCAAAACTTCTTTGTAACAAGAAGAACACTGAAAATACGCAAATAAGCAACAAATAAGCTGCACTCAGAGTTATTTTCATGATGGCAACGTCACTGTGGTGAAATACGATGTAATTAGTAAAATATGCAATATATAAAAAGAAAGTAAAATGCATTTTTACTTCAATGGCTAAAATAGTTATTGAAAAAATAGCTAGGAAAATAGTCTTATGATTCCCACTGTTAGTAAAAGGGCACGAAGGCAAACAGCATGTTCCATAAAAATATAAATGGGAAGCATGATAAAATACTACCTGGGAGTTAAATATGGACTATTATATGTTTTTAGTTTACTTTTCCCCTCATTTCCTCTCCTTTTCCCCTTAAATTGTGTCATATTTACCCTTCTGGTTAGTAATAGTCAATTTATTTAAAGGATTTGCCTGAAAAAAAATTTGTGCCATATGTGAAAAGGATTAAAAATGCCTTTTTGCAGAAAGCATGTCCAAGAACACAGGAAACCCACTCCTGAAGCCCACCCACATGCTTTGCTCATCACGTAGGAATGATGATTATCAGAGTGTCCATGAATTAATTTAGGTTCCAAATAACAGAAAAGAAAGCAGTGTGTCCCACAAAGAATTCTGGATGATTAGTAAAACTGAGTTATTTTGCCTAATCTTAACACAAGCTGTGTGTTTGGAACCAACGTCTCTTCTAAATCCTTCCAGGTTCACAAAATTCATGAGATAATTGTACTTAGTGACTCCAAGACTTCCTTGGAGGTTCATTTCTCTCACCTAGCACAATAAAGCTGAGCATGACAGAGGCAGATAATTACAGAATTCAAGAAGCACCCAAAGGTAGAGATGAACTGAGCAATATAAAGGTGAGCAGAGGCAGTACTCGCTTTTACAGCTGCAAATTCTTAACTGTTTTGATTAGAGGAAAAAAATACCATCAGAACCAGTTAAAAATCTTGATTAAAGGGCTGTATGAAAAACGTTATACTGGATTTTATAAAAATTGCAGGTTAATTTAACTGGTTTGTAGCTTTCTAAATGTATACATACAAACAATTTGCATTATTTCATTTCTTTCAGGACTTTTGCTAGACAGCTTTTCTCTTTGCGAGCTATTCTGTGTTCTTCACTGACCCCTTGTGGTTTCTAACTCCAAGGAGAAATTTTTTTTCTCAAGCTCAACATTACATTAAACAGATGTTTACTTAGGATAAAAGCAATAACTGAATCCTAGAGGACAATATAACAGTTTAATATACTATACAGCATCTCAACAGAGCTTCTTATTTTTGGGGGGTTTATAATCACATTCTCTACCCATTTTTTTTTCTTTTTTGTGTTGCTGTATAGAATTCAAAACTGTATGAAATTCCTGAATACATTATTTCTAAAAAATCCTTAAATTTGCCAGGCACAAGATAAAGGTAACCACATCCCCTGGAAAATGTAGGCAATGAAGTCAAATGACTATTAGAGTTATTTTAAAAGCAACAGATATATCCTAAGAATACGAGTTTCAGGGGATATTGCCCTGGACATGGGATGTCTGGCTGTGAGCAGTGAAATCTTGAGAGGGAAGAGTTTCCAGCTGCCCATTTGGCACTGTCAACATGTTTAATCTGTTTAATAATCCTGTGGCCACCTGAGTCTACTTTGTTTTCTGCCTTTATTGCCAAACACACGATCCCCTGCAACAGAGCAATGTCTAACTAGATGAAATGTAATTAAAGAGGCTGCCTAGGAATAATATTCAAGAATTCTTGCAGAAATATCCTGTGATAGTGGTAACAAAAAACCCAAACAACAAATACGATGCTAGAACAGCAAATCCCTAAGTGTCAA